TTCCCTACAATGGATAGTTTATAGTTTTCTTCTACACACTCAAATGTGTAACCCCTATGGACTGCTGCTAGAGGAAAAGGTGGCACCTAGTGGCAAATGAATTTATTTCAAGAAATGAAGATTTGTACATGGACTAGGGCTTGAAGCACCAATATGCATGACCTGAATCATGTTCAATCCTGCTCAGTATCTGACTAAATATAGCCAGGCATCTGCAAATTGATTGCATGCAGAAGCTTCTGTTTAAGTTGCAAGTGTCTCCATACACTAAACAGAACCTGTGTGTGTACTTGTATTTTACAATAGTACCCTATAGAATTTTAGTTTTCTGCGCTCTAATAGGCATGTGTGTAGACAGACATTTACTGCACAACTAATTAGTCAATGGTGCAGTAAACTTCTTGTGTTGACATACCCAGTTTTAACCAAGTTAAAAATTGGTTTCCTGAAAAGGCTTAAAAGAGTTGTTAATGAGCCAATACTACATAGTTAACTTGTTTAATAAATTTATTTTTTCCTGAAGTCTTAATAGAAAATTGTGGAAGGCATCTTAGCTATCGGCCACGTGCTCCTGGGCCCTGAGGAAGCTTGCCTTCTTCTGAGCAACGCGATCTTTCTTTTGCGCAAGGGACATCTTAGGACGGTTCCACCTGCAATACAAGCATAGGTTATAAATATCTGTAGTAAGTTAGAATAAGAAGGCATCTTTCCTTCTTGACAGAAGAGAGTGAGAAAGCCATATGAAATAATTAGTCAGTGCAGGAAGGAGTATTGGACAACACCTTAATATTAGTTAAAGCAACGGATTAGTTGTCATATACCAACAAGAAGTTTGATTTTTTGGAATTTGTGGTGTTGGCCTCAGACAAAGGATAGTAGATTAAACAGCATAACAATTCCCAAGTTCCTGAATAATTCTTAATATATGGAGGTATGGTACTGTGTCAGAACTCCCTTCCTTAATTTCAAAAAAATATCAGAGCTACAATACCATTCAAAATCAAACCGTAGCACCTTTGATCATATTTTACAGTACTATAGGACAGCAGTTCTCAAACTCTTTTGTACCAGGATCCACTTGTAAATATCAGTGGCTAGTCCTGGCCCACTGCCCTTCACTCCTGACCCACTGTCTCAGGCCCAGCCCCCCCAGTGTGTGTGTAGGGGTGGGGTGGGGTGGGGTGGGCCCCCCCACAGTAGCTCCCTTGCAGGCTGGCAGTTTTAGCCAGCAAGGGAGAAGCCATGGTTTCCCACGTTTTTCTCCTTTAAAGGAGAATCAGTTTTTCATGTTTATTGATCCATTTTTAAAGTTTGTTTGTGACCCTTTCATATATTCTTGCAACCCATGGGTTGAGAAATGCTGCTATAGGAGACAAAAGGCCTGGAAATTATTTTTCTAGGGCAACTTAACATCTTTAGTGGCCAAATGTGAAGACAAGCTAGTGCTTTTCCTCCATTATATCCATTCACCTGCTTTGTTCTGTAAAGATTTTTATTGGCTTAGCTGGATATTAAAACATTAGCATTTAAAGGCCAGACTCGGTCCAAGTTAGGAATTTCAACTCCTTGCATTATTATGCAGTTATTACACTTTGAAATCTGAAGTCTCTCATTAATTTGACCCTTAATAGTAAGCGGAGTTCGAGTATGTACCTTAAGAGTTAATGTACTAAGATCTTCTAAAACCCAGATTTAAATTCACATAAAGAGATATTACCTCTTTTTCTTGACCTCTCTCTTCGGTTTCTTTTCATGGACTGGATTCTCCCGTATACCAGCGTGGGCTTTTTTATACATTTCTTCCATCTGCAAAAAAATACAATATAACTGATTAAGTCAAACAATAACTGTATTTGATATGTACTTGGCAAATGTTCCAAACTATTCTGCTCAGCAACATACCACTACTTAGTGAAGGAATTTTTACTGGATGTATAACTCTTGTGCTTCAGACTGGCAGGTCTTAGGTTATCAGTTTGCCTGCCTCTGGCACCCTTTCTTTTACTGGGAAGTCACTTGCACCAAGCTAAATCCATTACAATGTGTGTCATATTTTCTCAGCAAGAGAAACATCATCCCTCTTCTTTATATAGATATGGAACAAAAGCTAGGATATGAAATTAACTTAAACCAAGTTACAAGCCTGTGGTGTGGAAAATTGAGTTTGGATGTTAGCCCATGCCAACCATCCTTCCTCTGAAGGACAGCCATGCTAGGTGTATTACACGTTTTAACATTCTCCCTGAAGACTTTTTTGGCTTGGATTATTTAGCACATCCAAGCCTTAAAAACTTAAACAGAAATATGTGCTGCTACTAGTTGTCCTGGGGCATATCCCTGCATGCATGCTCTGGTATACAGCACATTGCCTGAAGTGGTATAGGGGAAGCTGGGGCCAGCACCTAGGCTAGACCCAGCAGCCTTACTGGGGTCCTCCCATGGAAGTGATCCAGGTACATGGAGCTCAGCTGGCAGCCAGTGAGACTTTGGCCAGCCAGACTCTGGTTTTGGACACCGCATGATGCAGCCATATGCACTGTGCCCCTACTGTTTTTTTTTTGGTGTAGTTTTTGTTGACACTGGGATCTCCTGGTGTCAAAAACCCACTGCATTGCAAGTTAACAGAGCAGGAAATGTGTGTGTGGTGCATGCAATCTGAAGCACCACAAACTGCACTTGCACGCTCATAGGGACACACTGATATAGTCCAGCAGGGCAAAGAGCCCAGCCTGCTTCTCACCCTGGGGACCCCTGCAGCAGAACTGGGGCACTAACAACTGAAACAGCCTTGCAGACGGAAACTCTGCTAACCATGGTGCAAGCCAGGCATAGGCAGCTTCAGCAACACTGGTGGCAGCAGAGCCTCCGACTACAGCCAAAGCTGCTGCAGCAGGGTCTCTCACGACAGCAGCCCATGTCCTGGTGAGAACCAGGGTGCAGGCAGCTCCAGCAGCATCATAGTCAGAAGTTCTGTTAGTACAACCACAGCCCACTAAGCTGGGGATTTTGGCCCATCTCTGGCCACTGTAAAGGGGATTCTGCCCACATGCTGCTCTCCTCACTGTGCTGGCTGTAAAGAGCCACAGGAAGTCACACCAATGCCAGAGCAAAACTCCACAGGCCAGATAACCTGGATTAGTGGGCAGTATGTCCAATACCCCTGAATTAGTGTAGGTGCCACCTCGATCTGCCATCTGCTGGACTTCAGTATAACAGTTAATTGTCTCTCTAGTTACAGTTCCTGTCACGTGATCTCATCAGTAAGCCACACTGCTGCTCCTTCAGAATGGGGCACTGGCACTTTCACACTTTTAAAGACTTTGTCCAAAGACTGCACCAAAAATAAAAGAGTGATCAATTAAAACCAGTTGTCAACACAGACTATCCCTGACTGGGCCAGCAGATTTACAACGTTTTGTATAGTTAGTACATGGGTGGCTGTAAGAATTCATACTGTTGACATAAACCCTGGACAGATATCTATATTAGCTGCTTCAAGACTAAAGGTATACTGTCTTCCACTATGGTTTCCTGCAATTTCTTAGATATTTAGTAGAAGAGTTTTACTTGGCTTTAAAAGTAATACAATTATAGGCCATGTCCACTCTCATTTTGTCTACTGTTTCATCAGCTTTTTTCAGGTAGTAAAAAAGTTCCCCAAAATTCCAGAGTAAGGAAGAGAGGGGGAGATGGAAAAAGCAGGATAGACAAAAGCCATTCGTGACAGGAAGGTAAACAGAAAGGATAAGGTTTCAGGTGAAAGGCAGCATCATGGGAAAGGAGTAAATATTGGCCTAAAAAGTTTGTCAAAAAGCAAGACATTTAAATTATAGTTCTTACAGCGAATCAATACTTTAGCACCATTTCAGAGCCTACGTAGGTAATATAATCAATATGTTAAATTAGGCCAAGCATACGACAAGGCTGTTCTGTTTTCAAATAACATGCCTCAGTTTTTAAAAGGTGAAACAATACGTTTGCAGAATTTAGACAAATGATTACCCCTCACCTCTGAGAAAAATGCCATCCATATACATCCATCCACAATACTTCACCCTTCCTGTTTTGATGTTTTAGTAGCACCATTACTAAGCATGCAAGTAATGGTCCTGCTTTGAGCAAGGGGTTGGACTAGATGACCTCTTAGGGTCCCTTCCAATGCTAACTTTCTATGATTCTAATGGAGATTGAGGAAGCCATGTCTTACCGCGTCAGGTGTAACATTGTTCTTTATGTACTGGGAGAACTGTTTTTTATAAGCATCTTCATCTTCCTCCATCAGGTAGCGCATGTAATCTGCAACATTTTGGCCCATGATGTGCTTACGATGAACCTCTGCGTTGAATTCTTTGCTTTCCGAGTCATAGCCAGGGAAACGCTTGGTACTAGCAAACAGCAGTTAAGGTGAGTAGTTACAACAAGCCACCTTGTCAGGGATGGTTTAAGAAATTCTTTTAAATCCAGAAATTTTGTTGTACATGTTTTGGAAATAGGTAAAAGGATAGATACAACATCTCCCCCCCCCCCCCAACAGCTAGAAGATAAAGAGTTTCAACTAATAAGTTGAAAAGCTATAAGCTAAGGACATTTTATCTTCAGCTGCCATCAGTCCCGTCTTGAAACAATGACATACATCATACACAAACTGAGGACCAACTACAGCATGCTCAGTTGCTGGGGTATCATCATATAGCAGCCAGGTTCAAGAATGAAGAGAATCTCAACAGCCCAATGAAGCGGTAACATTAAATCCCTTTCTGTTATCTCAGCTATTCTTTGAAAGTTTTATAGTCAGAGCAACTAACTAATAGCAAAAATAGATCATGCCATCAATTTAGTTATAATTTTCATTTAGAGACTAGGACTTAAGGCACGGGTTGCCAGGACTTTTGCACAGCAACTTAAGGTACAAGCATAGCTGGATTATTCAGACTCCAGCTGAAGTTTTCACTAACAGTACCATAAGGTTCAGAAACACCCACTGGCTTTCCCATATTCATTTCTCGGAATATAAAACCAGAACAGTCAAAGAAATATTTACCTACATGTAACATCAAAGTAGTATCAATACAAATATTAAAAAGTGCTTTGCCTATTTAAATGCATTTATTTAGTCATAGGATATCTATGATACTCTCAGTATCCAGAGTACTGTGTTCAGTTTTGGACCCCACAGTACAAAAAGGATGTGGACAAAATTGGAAAGAGTCCAGCAGCGGTCAACAAAAATGGTGAGGGGGCTGGGGGACATGACTTATGAGAAAAGACTGGAGGAACTGGGCTTATTTAGTCTAGAGAAAAGGAAACTTAATAGCAGCCTTCAACTACCTGAAGGGGGAGTAAGGGTTCAAAAGAGGATGGAGCTAGGTTATTTTCAGTGGTGGCAGATGACAGAACAAGAAACAACGGTCTCAAGTTGTAGCAAGGAAAGTTTAGCTTAGATATTAAGAAGAATTTTCTCACTAGGAGGGTAGTAAGACACTAGAACAGGTTACCCAGAGAGGTGGTGAAAGCTCCATCGCTGGGGGGTTTCAAAACCCAGCTAGACAAAGCTCTGGCTGGGATGATCTAGTTGGGGCTGGTCCTGCTTTGAGCAGCGGGGTGGACTAGATGACCTCCTGAGGTCCATTCCAACCCTAAGTTTCTATGATTCTCAAGTGACCAGTGATACTACTTTAAACTCCAGAAAGTTTAAACCTTATTCTTCCCCCACCTCCTCCCACATCACTCCAAGTTGCAACTCCTTGGCTGCAATCAGAATGGCACCTCCAGAAAGCCTAAAACAACCGAGATTAAAATCTAAATTAGCACAGTAACATACTCATTCCACACCAATTTTAGCTAATCTCAGATGAAGGTAACAGTATGATTAGGCTGCACATAAAGAAGTTAAGGCCCATTTTTCCACAGTTCCCTTTATGATCAACTTCTTATCCAAGACACAATTACCTATGAGGAATGGATAGACCACCATCCACTGCACCCTTTAGAGCCCCAAATACTTTGTTTCCAGTGGTAGTTCTTGCAAGCCCTGCATCCAGGTAGCATGTAAAGGCACCAGGCTGTCCATCCACACTTTCCACATTGTATTCATCACCAGTCACTTCAACTTGGCCTTCGTAAACCTTATCAAGGCCAAATTTATTCAGAAGCTGTAACAGAAAGGAGTACAGAATGTGCTCTGAATTATTCTCCATATTTATTTATTTATTTTTTTAAAACAGAAGAACTCAATAGTTTAACAATGCAAAATAAAGTTACTATAAGAAAGGCTGGCACTATGTTCTCTCTGTACAAGATCAGTGCACTTAACCTATATTCATTCTCACAGCAACTACTAAACAAATCAGTACAAACAACACTCCACATTTTGGAGTTAAATTTATCTGCGTAAGTATGGTTATGAGTGTTTAACATTTCATAGGCTGAGTTAGAAACTAAATGCATTCTGCATACACACTTCTAACTCTTAACTTGTACACTTCTATATGTACTCTCTTGCTGTCATGCCATCATGACATCTTGCTGTCTCTTGCTGTCATGTTATTTCCCCTTAAAAAAATAAGGTTCTCAAAACTAGGTTGCTGGAATTGACCAAACAGGCACAACACCAACTATTTCAGGCATCATTACATCTAAAAGTTCAGGGTGTTAAATCAATGCCAATACATGTTAATCAAGTCAAGAAATCTCTGAGAGAGAAGAACCGGTGATATGACATAGACATGATATAAACATACCCTCCGTGCCAACAGCAAGCCTGTACAATAGGCTGCAGCATAATTGGTCAGGCCAACCTTCACACCATACTTTGGCAGCTCATGAGCATAAGCAGCACAGACAATCATGTCGCCTTCAATCCTGGCATATGCAATCTGACAATAAAACAAGCATTAGATTGCTCACATTGAAAGAAATAGTAATAAAAAGTTAAATGTTTCACTGTCATTTAATGCTTCCATTCTTATGGTCTCATCCCCTCTATCATTCACATTGCAAGTTGCATCCTTTCTGACCCCTGCATGTGAGCTCTTGAAAGTTTTGGTTACACATTTAGATCTCAATTCTTTATAGCTTCCCCCTTTTAAGCACACATTTCACAGACCTCAAGTTATAAAGAGCAAGCAATTCAGTCCTTTTGGATCACACTAAAAAAGCAGTGATCCCCAACCAGGTTGCCATGAGGCACCACTCAGTATGAGCACTGTTAAGTATGCAAACACATGGTTCACAAAATAAATGCAGAGATTTCAAACAGGAATCGGTAGTGAAAAGCATTCTGACCTGTTGTGGTCTCTCCACATTTTTTGCAACAGAAACGTTGCTCTATTTTACTGTAGTAAAAAAAAAAAAAAAAAAAAGGGGAAAGCTAAGAACTCGCATGTTCCATGTTTTTTGTGTCAAAAAAAGTTGAGAACTACTGCGCTATAAGTTAAAGATTGCCTAAGTGGTTACTGACTATTTAACCACTACTTCATACAGGGTGGCCCAAGCTACCTACAAGAAAACACTACCAGAGAATGTATGTAGATCAAAAGTGGGAAGGAGGATCTAAAATACAATGCACACTATTCTTTTCATGGTAGGTCAAACATAACGTATCCCATAATTCTTAATTCAGTCACAATACTCTATTTCAGATTGCCTCAAAACTCAACTGACACAGAGTGTGTTCTAAAGCCAAAGTGAAGACCATCATAAATTGCAGAAGCCACCGAAGGGATGCTGACAGCTGCCAAGTCACTTCAATCCTAGCTTCTTCCACCTGCCTTCAGTTATTGTTACAGAAGCAAATTACTATAACCAATTTGCTTAGTTCACTTACGGAATTTCTGAACATGAGGAGGTGAAAAAGCACAGGCATAGAGTTATTATTAAGTGTAGTTTGTGTGGTTTTATACAGAAAAATAAACATTTTTAAACAAGCATGAAGCTACAGAATAACTAACACACCTAACTAATGATTCTTTTATCAAGTCAAATTTCAAGCGTCTAGTATTCTCAACTGCTTTTCTTCAAACTTAGATTACTTATAGTCTTCAGCAAAAAACAGAAAAAACAAACAAACAAACTTAACATTTCCTAGCACAACATTTTCTGGCTGCACAGATCCAAAAAGCCAATTCAGGCAGAGTTCAAATTATTTTCCTTAATTTATAAAAACAACATTTTGGCCAAATCAAATATGAAGTTTAAGCCTGACAGTACCACAAAGAGTTAAGGACACGGTTTGAATGGAGATTTGCTGAGCTGTTGTGGGCTGGGTCAGCACAGTCCCTACCCCTAGCAACAGTTCACCAGAACTCCCCAAGTGGCTCTGATCCAGAGCCTGGCCCTGACCCTGTCAGTACCTGGCAATCCTGGCCCAGCCCCAGGGTCTCCATGGAGACTGGCCCCAGATCTGCACAGACAGAGCATGCTCAGGCCGGGTGGATAGGATGGGGCCGGGTGGATAGGATGGGGCCGGGTGGGGAGTGGCATCTGTGAGCAGGATGGGCAGGTGAGGCCAAGATCACAAGGTGATGACAGCATGGAGCCAGGACCAAGACCCAGGGCAGAGCTGTGATCTGCTTCCAGCATACCTGTGAAACCAATGCCTGCAGCGGAGACATGCAGGCAATGGATCATGGCTCTGTCCTGGGCCCTGGCCCCATGCTGTCACCACCCTGGCCATGCTTTCAGATGCTATTCCCCATGCACCCAGGCCCCCATCCCATCCACCTGGATGAATGCACCTTATCCTGGTGGAGTCTCCATAAAGACCCTGCCCACCACACTTTGGCAGTAGATGCGGGTTGGATAAGATGGGATGCTTGGGCAGCAGAGCTGGTCCAGTGGTGGCAGCCAGGAGCCACTGCCACTGGGGCTGCCAGGAAGTAGAGTTCGACTGCTGTGCTGCCCAAGCCTCGCTACACACTTGGGGCAGTGGGACCATTTACATATGCCATGGTCCATGCTGCACCCCATGCCTGGGCCAGGCAAGGCCAAGGGACCTGCCACAGGCTGGATATAATCCCTTGGTTGGCCAGATCCAGCCTGTGGACTGTATTTTGCCCACCCCTGGCATAAATGCTAAAATTCACCCTTAAGTCTTCACTTTCCAGTCTCATATTCCACAGAAGAGGCATCAAAACACGCATTTGGTTCTGAAGTCAGCATGGAAGTCACCACTGAAAACCATACACAAAACTATGTAGTTACAGGATCTGACAAGCCACATGGTCAATCTTGCTATCTTCTGCCAAGCAAAATGACCCTCTCTTCACAGCAAGCCCCTTTCTGAACTGGGGAATAATATCAGAAAATAAGAGGATCAGCTTTCCTCTCTTTCAGCACTGCAGATCTGAAGTCCAGCATGCCCTTTTAGCTACACCAGTATCACTGAAGTGGTACAACCTGCATGAACCCAGTTACACTGACAATGTATTCTCCAGACAAACATGCTTTAAGGGATGCACAGTTTTAGCAGTAAAAGTGACAGTCCTTATAGATATGAAGCCAATACAAAACTGTTTAGACAAGTCTATGAAAGAAAACAGCTGTTTTCCTCCTGCTGGTCAGCACTACTTAACTTCAGGAAAGGCTGTGCCACTCGGGCACTAACAAGCAAGCCAAGAAACCCTTACCTGGCAGATGATATCTCTGTTGGTGACACGCACTATCATCCTGTATTTAGGGGTGTTATACTTGTTTTTATCTTGAATCACCAAACGCTTACGAGCATAATAGTCTGTCTTTCCCTCTGAAAAGAAAATAGTTTTAGCATTTAAGAAATAGAGTATGTACACACACCAATTTTGTTTACTTTAAAAGTGATGATGGCATTAACTATACCTCTCCTTCTCCTGAATTTCACTTGGTACCTCTTGAAATAGGCCTTATTTTTCACAACTTTCACAAACCCCTGGAACAAAGAACAGAAGCAGAGGTTATTAACACAGCACCAAGTCTGTCAATGCCCAGCGTGCAGTTTCATGAATGGGCACATGGGAAATGAAGAGGGGCCAAGCAGCTATACTGTGCTGCATACAGCTACCTAGCACAGCAGTATTCATTCCTTCCAAGCCGACCCGAGCCAGAGCAATACAGTACGTGCATCGCTGGTCGGATCTATCAGTATTCACTGGCTAAATGTTCCCTACGTCTTCAGGGGCACTAACCGCCCGTGCCTCTTTCCATCACCCCGGATGGACGCGTTTTCCGCTCATGCCACAACTCAACCCGCTTCTTGGCCCGCTCCCTGCGGGGCCAGGACAAGCCCCCAGAGCTGCTGTCACGGCGCTGCAGACCGCACTCCCGCCTCCCCGCTTGGCCGAAACCGCAGCCGAGGAAGCGAAGGGAGCGGGGCTGGGGGCACGGGGCGTGGAGGCAGAGAGAAAACCGCACAGCGGAGCTCCCCGCCCGCAGCCCGGCCCGGCGGCTGCCACGCGGCCCG